ATTATGAAAGGATAATGAAGTATGATTCAAAGCATTATTATTAAGAGTTAAGTTCTAGTTTTGAATTTTCTTATTGGAGATAAAAAAAAAATAAAATAAAATACCTCTGAGTATTGTGGACTTTCTGTTTTGTTTTGCCTTTATCTATCTGGGGATTTCTAGCCCTGGAAGAAAGGTGAATTTCTACTTCCTAAGAGGATATATGTGTGTGTATGTGTGTACACATGTATATGTGTACGTATGTTTATACGTATATGTTCGCATATATACATACATACATACATATGGACATATACATACATATACACAATACACATCTATCTATCTATCTATCTATCTGTCTGTCTGTCTGTCTGTATATCTATCTATCTATCTATCTATCTATCTACCTGTCTATCCATCTATCTCCTGCAACATGACTTGGTAGAAAGAAGTCTAGCCTCTAGTTCAAGTTCTGACACAAATATTACCTTTGTGAACATGGATGGGCAATGCTCTAAACCTAGACATTACAGAGGAGTTTGCTGAATGGCATCAATGGAGAAAGCATCCATCCTGGAAGTTCCCTACCCACATTAAATCACAGAGGTGAATTAAGAACAAAAATCAAAAACAAAAATTCTGCTACTCACACCTTCGACCCCCAAGACAGAACTGTGAATAGTGATTAAAGACTGTGGATGGACCTCCTCAGCTACAGTAATAGTTGCCTGGGGAGAGCTTCCACCCTACTTCAAATCGGAGAGAGAATTAACACTTAAAAGATTCAGTGGAAATTGTGTGGAGTGTGAAAAAAAAATGGCTCTTCTTCATCTATCGGTTAACAAATGACTCAGCTAAACTCAGAGAAGTGTTGAGAGAGCTGGAGTAGTATTTTCTTCATACTACTCCAACCACCCCCTACCTACTTAACCAAATTAAGAGTAGGTAGAAAAGAATCCAGTGAAGAAAAGTCATCTAAACATACTTTTCCTTTTTTATTTTTCACCCTCCAGAAAAAAACCTTGTCTTTTCTGTCAACATCCCACCGATGACATCAGACATGCTGTTACAGTCATGAGGTAACTGAGATTTGCCATTTATGCCTCTACTCACACAAATTTGTGTGATGAGGTTTTGCAGTCTGTTCATTTCCTTAGTGAATGAATGAAAATATGACCACAAGCCCTTCTAAAGAGCATCCTAGTCTGTTGAAGATCAACCTTGCACCAGGAACCAAATAACTTTTTTTTTCTTTTCACTTAGGTTGAGACAATTGAGAGATGACTCATATGCATGGTTGATGAAGCAATTAATCCCAACTCTCCCTCTCTGAATCATCTCTACTCATGGAAAAAAATAAAAATATTAATTCTATATAAAAAGCAAAAAATGTGCTCATATGAAACATTACTGCACACAGAGGGAAAAGGGAGTGGGAGAAAGAGGCTGATTTTACTTCATTTCAATTGTATCTGTCTAGGGGGAACTATGTGACTATACGAACAGATTTCAACAAGATCATGCTGATCAGCATTGCTTCCTCTATTTCAATTCACAAATCCTGTGTTTACAGGAACAGATTTCTGAGACATTCCTATACAATTAGCTTACTCACTATTTTTTTAAAGGAAAAGGGAACAAAAGGATAACACCCCCTTATGGGTAAAGACATGTGTGAGTGTGTATTCCTGTGTGAAGCAGTTCTCTAAATTCCAGTTAATACAGGAATACAAAGTAAGTGTGATTTGCTAATATCATTAAAGCAGAGGCATTGCTCCAAGCCATAGGCACTCACTCTGTGCACAATATGACTGCCCTCTACCAGCCAATAAAAATAAAATAAAATCCTAGTGTTAAGATCTCAGAGACCACTGAAATGTTTTACAGATGAGAAAACTGAGCCCTAACCTCCAGGGAGGAAGGCTACATTTTACTCAAGGTCACACAACCAGTTTTTATCAGACCCTGGGATGAAAATACAGGTCTCTTGACTCCCCATTCAGTTTTCTTACCAATCTATGTGAGATGGAGGTTTGGTACACTAATGTGTATCTGTTTGTTTGTTTTCGAAAATGAAAAGCCAAGTATCAAAGTTTAAAATATTCCTAGTCTAAAACTGGGTAAGTAAGCAGCTTCTATTCTATGTTCTAATCCTAGTTCTGCCTCATGTCATCTTACATAGAAATCATCAAAATGTAAGCACACACACAAAATCTGAGTGGCCCCAGAAGCAGGTTATAACGGAGGATGCCTTCAACTTGGAAATCTCAAGACCTAATTCAAATTTCAGCTCTGCTACTTGCTTCCTGTCTCTATGGCTTTACATAAATCATCTGACTTCTGTGGTCCTCAGTTTCCTCATATGAAAAATGAGAGGTTTGGACTGGTCTTCTAGTTCTGAGCCTCTATGAACTCCTTACTGCCAGTCTAACTCTGCCCAATTCCCACCCTCTCTTAATGCCATTATTACGAGGTTTGGGGTTGAAGGTGACTGACAAACACAAATGGGAATCCATCCATCCAGCAGAAGCATCCATGAAAAGTAAACAACAAAAGGAGGCCATGTTTCTTTGCAGCCTTCAGCTGCAGCCTTTAAACCCTCCAACATGGATACATTTCAAACTATACAGCTAAATTAACTACTTATGGGAGTCAATAATGGTCACTTAACTATCTAAATATTCTCGTTTCAGCATCTGCAAACAAGAATCATTAATGAAATGGAGATCAATAATGAAATTCTTCTTAAGGGGATGCTTTTCCAAACCAATTCCAAGAGTTCTAAGCCTCATAAGGAAATGCACAGCATATAAACCTGGATATTCAATTGTTAGCTTAAGTCTCTATATCCACCATGAAGAGCAGTGCCAGGGGAGTGCAGGAGGGTCTGGCCTTTACTAGGCTACAGACTCTGTCTAGTGTTTGGGCAGCTAGGTAGCAAAGTGCATCAGCCCTGGAGTCAGGAAGATCTGAGTTCAAATTTGGCCTTAGATATTTACTAGCTGCGCGACCCTGTACAAATCACTTAACCCTCTTTGCCTCAATTTCCTCATCTGTAAAATGAGCTGGAGAAGGAAATGGCAAATAACTCCAGCATCTTTGCACAAAAAAACCAACCAAACAAACACCAAATGAGGGCACAAAGAGTCGGACACGACTGAAACAAATGAACAGCAAGTGTCTGGGCAAGGCGTCATCTCACTGCAGGAGCTGAGGCTGTCACTTCCCCAAAATTGTTTCAGTACCCTAACTACCCATTTACCAGCTGAATTTAATTGGTGATGCCAGTTCGGGAAACAAAAACCACCAAATAGCCATATTTCCATTAGCCAACAAAGCTTATCCTCTACCATCTATGAGAATCACAAATCTCCAGAGTGCCACTATGTGGTTATTGAAAAACATATAACTTAGAATCAGGAGACCTAGATCAAAGTCCCCACTCTAATATTAATTAACTACGTGACCTTGACAAATCTGTGCCTCAGTTTCCCCACCTATAAATTCAGAGGGGAGTTGGGTATAGGAGGAGTTGAACTAGGGGCTCTCTGAGGTCCTTTAGAAATCCTAGCCCATGTCCCAGAAAGACAATTAAAGCATAACAAGATGATTACTCTGCTGATGCTCAACACACATGTCCTCATATCTCTTCATCCCCTTACCTAATGGTGTTAGTCCAGGTATAGCAACCAATATATTTTAAGAAACCTAATTCTCCTAGGGATTTATTTGGACAATGATAGAACTAAGCCCAATCTCCCTCAGGATAAAAGACAAAGTTCTTATCCTTGTATTAGGCTAACTTCTCAAAGACATACACAAAAGAGGAAAATTACTCTAGGTTCTCCATTCAGCAGCCTGAAGACCAGTACAAAGAAATAATGGACAGCAGCTGAAATACACGCCGGTTCCAGTGTCGTGATGCACCGCTTTAGGCAACATAGACAATATATATGATGACAATTCATTCTGAATGGGGAAGGGAAATATTAAAGACTTTCAGAAATTGACAGCAGTTTTTCCCCCACTGTTACTGGGCAACAGTTGCTTAGTACTCAGAAAAATTTCAGCCTAATAAGCAAAACAATGAATCTTATTTATTAATATTTCTGGGGTGAAAAGAAAAAGAGGGCATCAGAAGTTCACTGACTGCCTTCTCTACCATACTAGGGCGATGCAAGGCCAAATACCATCTCTTTAAGGAAGGAAAAACCAAACTACAAATGAAACAGGAATGTGAAGCATCTCCTTTCCTGTTAACTCTGTGACATGATCCATTTTTATTCTTCCTTCCCAAAGTTTCTAACCTTCAGGTCATGCTCATACCCACAGACAAACAGAGGGAGTTACTGAGCTGCTAGTCCCTAGAGGAAGTGCTTTATTTTCATATTTGAGCTGTTTTACTGGAGCTGCTGAGTTCTATTGCACAATCCTAACAGGAATTAAATATTATATACTCTTTGGTAAATTATCAAAATGTAAACCAACAGCTACAGCGGGACCAAGAAAGCTGCCAAGAATTTTAACACTGCGATTTTAGTAAGAGAGAACATTTTTCCCCCTGCTGTTGTCTTCAGCCGTATCAACCTCAATTATCATACCCTTTTATATGTGTGAATATAAATCTGGACATATGTGTTTACACGTCTTTCCATTCATGCTCAGTATTTCATGTGGAATCTCCAAATGGGACAATCAATAGAGAAATGGGTAAAAGGTTAAATCGCTATTTAAAAATCACTCTGCCTACTTTAATTATTCTAGATTGTTCACTGTCACTGATCACTGCATGCCATCAAGTCCAGTTAACAAGAAATGTAATGCCTCAGATGAATACACAAGGCAAATGCTTCTTAGCAGATGATGTTAATTCTCTGAAGTCATTTGTTTTCATTCCCTCTTTGCTATTTTTATTCTGCATCATCACCAGCATTTCCACATCGGAAAAATCCCCCTGGTCAAGGTAAATATGCATGTTCTATACACTTAAAGAGAATAGAAAGAGACAGACACTTTACCTTGTTTTCACAGACTGATAGATCTCATTTTGCCTTCACGACAGAATGCTAAGCATAGCAATGCACTGTCAAAAAATGTCAAGGGAAACAATTATTGATTAGTGCATTCAAACTTATTATGCATGTAGACTAATACATAACAATAACTTTAAGAAAGCATGTAATACTGAAACAGAAAAATCATCAAGCAAATCTGCCAGGTAACTGTCAAGCTAAGAATGAACAATCAGAAAGAAAACAATGGGCTATTACAAAAAATTGGTCAAAAGATCCCTATGTGTTAATGGTATACAGAATAGCTCCCTCAAATAGACTTCATCCTACATTTACTGATAAGAACCTTATAATCTGAGTGTTTTTTATGAATACAGTCACAATTTTATATGACAACTAATTAAGAGGTCTTTTTACTTCTTGTGGCTATTACGGCCTTTCTGAATAAAGTTTAAGTTTCTATCCTGTTCAAAGCACAACAATAATTTTTTTAATGATACTAGAGATTTCAGCAGACAGATTATGTTTTTGTTTTTGCCATGGCATACTAGATGTTTTGAATTAATTTGGACAGATGGATGAAAAGGACATAAGGAAGATGTCCTCCCCACCACAAAACACACACACATACACACACAATTACTTCCTCTTTCACATGGTTACCACCTTTTCATCTTCTTTGTTGAAAACTAGCAAGAAAAATCAAGGAAAGCCTGGACTTCTCCACATACCTAGGATGGCTAGGAAAACTGATCTGTTTCAGTAGGAGTCATCAAATACTAGTTCTGTTCCCGTCAAAGAAAGATAACCCTTTTCTCGAAAAAAAAAAATGGTACTTAACTAAACTGCTCAGGAAACAATGTCCACCACTAAGATCTTTTCTCCCTTTTTCTTCAGCCTAAATAACTACACACACACACACACACACACACACACACACGGTATATGTATATAACATATACTATGTGTATACCCTGTACACATATGTATGCACACACACATGCACACACACACACATACATATGGAGAGAGAAAGAGAGAGAGTTTTTGTTTATTTGTATATAGTTGCTTACAAATTGTCTTTCCCATTAGATGAAGGTAGGAACTGTTTTTGCCTCTCTTTGCTTCCCAATACTTAGTATAGTGTTTGGCACGTGGTAAACCCTTTAATAATTGTTTGTTGAGGGGGCAGCGAGGTGGCACAGTGGATACAGCACCAGCCCTGAAGTCAGGAGGACCTGAGTTCAAATCTGGCCTCAGACCAAGCACTTGACACTTACTAGCTGTGTGACCCTGGGCAAGTCACTTAACCCCAAATGCCTAAAAAAAAACAACCAATAACTGCTTGTTGACTAGCTGATATGAAATGATCACATTATATGGCTAGCCATATAAGGGCCTCTACAGATTGGTTGCATTATGTTTTTGCTTCCAGTACATCCCGTCTCCATGTTCTTTATGAAGGCGTATTTAGGGACTGAGGTGATATGGCCAATGACTCCAGTCCAACTCATCTAGAAATCAAGGCTTCTCCACCTAGCCTGTGAAATCACTATACACAATGGGGAATAACTAGAATCCCACAGCAAGATAAAATGACCTGTATGTCACTACCCATTCAATATTCTCCCATTAGTCAAAGTCCTGTCTGCCTCAAGTTCTTGGCCTTCTACTTGTATGATGGGACAGGGCTGCATCCACAGAAGTTAATCATCCCTTTCCTGAAAGACAACTGAAAGCATTTCAGAAACCAATGCAGTATTTACTCAGAAACTAGGCATTTTCTTTTTTCCTGCCATTCTTGTTCTTTTCTTCCCCCAAATCACAAAGGCTGCTGTTTTAATATTGTTATTAGAGAAATTAACCGGAGATACTTTCTTCAGTAAATTAAGCATACTACCCACTACTTAGTATCTGAGAGGGATTTTGTTTTGTTTTTAATGATTAGCCTTTTAGAAGTGGTCACTCTACTCTTAAAAGAATTATTCCTAATTTCCATTTTATGACTGTGGTGAAGGCTTGCTAGGCCTAGCAGACTGTCAACCTTCCCACCCCAGTCCTATCCAAATCCCTGAAAGCTCCTTTACATACTTCCTGATAAAACAAAGCACAAGGAGGGAGAGCAGTCATCAACTTCACTTGGTCCTCATTCGTTTCCCCAATGATACCAAATTGATTGCCAACTTGGTGTCGTGTCAAGAGCACTTGTATGAAGAGTCAAGAGACCTGCATGTTAAGCATTGCCTAAATAAGGGCGGGGTGGAAGGCAAGAGGTTTATGGCAGGAGGTTAGGAGAGTCTCTTCATTTCATGCCAATTCAATGCTGAAGTCTTACAACATTATTTTTGAGTGCTTCAAAGTGAAATCCAATGAAATCATTCTTTGGAGTTCCATAGTGTCCTGGCCATAGCCCTGAGTCCTTGAAAGCCAAAAGAGTGGAGCATCAACTCTGGCACATTCATCCCACTATGGAAAGGCTTCTCCTATGGGCCCAGAAAGACTAAACTAGACAGATGGTTACCCAGCAACTCATGAAGACTCTCAAGTAAGACAGGGATGGAAGTATCGTGTGTGATCTGTGCCGGTACAGGGAATACTTCCACCAATCAATTCATAAATCTTAACAAGTACTAAAGGGAGTTAAGCTGAGATGAGTTAGCCGTCTTATTTATATGCATTGCAGCCATGCTGCTAAGACATCATCCACGCTATGATAGTCATAGGAACATATACCGTCAGAAGTGTGCCCTTAGAGATCCTCTAGTCCAACTCCCTCACCTTATACAGGAAGTGATTTTGTCAAGAGCATAGGTGGGGCAGTCAGGTGGCGCAGTGGATAGAGTGCTGGGCTTGGAGTCAGGAATACTCATCTTCCTGAGTTCAAGTCTAGCCTCAGACGCTTACTAGCTGTGTGATCCTGGGCAAAACATTTAACCCCATTTGCTTCAGTTTCCTCTTCTAGAAAACGAACTGAAGAGGGAAATGGCAAACCATTCCAGTACGTTTGCCAAGAAAACCCCAAATGGGGTCACAAAGAGTCAGACATGACCGAAAATGATGCAACAACAACAAAAACAACATAAGACTAGTTAGAGAAAGAGGTGGCGCTCTAACTGACTCAGAGTCTAACGCCTATTGTACCATCTCAGTCATTTGTTAATTCTCTTTATGGACTTTCCGGTTCTTCCCCATGTCTCCAAGTTATCGTTTTAAGGATTCTATAGAAACAGGAGGAAGAACTTAGTGACCAAGGATCGAAATTCTAAACAGTTGTCTTATACTTGTTGTAGAGTTGCTAACCCAAGCATTCTCCTCTCTCTGAACTACACAGATGTTCCTCTCCTCTATCCCTAATCAGCACAGACCATCAGGCTCCCTACTCAAAGTATTATCTCACACATTATGCTACCACAAGTTAAGGTTGAAGAAATGAAGAAAGAAATTTTAAAATTCTCAACACACGCTTTATATATATTTCTCCAAAATGATACAATAGAAGTAGGTGTCTGTGAATAAGCAATAGGATGTCCGTATGTTAATCACATCCTCCACATGCATAAAAGGGCCAGAAGTTAGATCAATGGGAAAAATTTGAAAATTTACAAGGAAGTAGAATAAGACACATATTCTGAATCTACTAAAACATGTACATAGACTGTTTTCCTTTTCACTAACTCAAAGGCCACTTCCCTAGGCTGCTCAAGCCAGGTATTGAAAATGTCTAAGAAAAAAAAATGAAATGTATTTTTGAAAAAAATGTCTAGATGTGGAAAAGCACAAGGAAGCACTTGCAAAATATGTGCTAAGAACAAATGAGAGGCTTTCCCATTTTGTCTGCAAAATTGATTCTGAAAAGGGAGCCACTAAAAGTACTGCTTTTCTTGGCCCTTTTTCTTCTGCTGAAAGAAAGCACAGTGACATGGGAAAAAGCTAAAATTATATGCAGTGAAAATATCTCATATTATGAAAGCCTTTTTGAGTCATAACTGTAATCGAATTCAATTCTGTATCAGCTTTGCCAAACACTATCAATGGTTACTACAATAAAAATTAATATTTTGTCACTTGGCATCTGCAGTAACTTTGGTATACTTGACATGTTGGAGCTGTGGCCATTTGGCTTTTCCAGCTGCCTTCCCATAATCTCCATTCATAGAGGGTGGATGATTTTATATATACAAGTGGCATCCTCTGCCCCGATGAGATCTGCTATACTAACAGGAAAAAAAAAAACGGTAGACGAATTTTTCTCATATCAGAGAAGGCACACACACATGTGCATCCACCCACATGACTATCTGGTTATTTTAATATGGCATGTCTAGTAATGAAGAGCATAGGTGTTTTACAAATGCTTGAGGTGGCTTTACATAACGTTTCTAGGCTATGGTTCAGATACTTGAGATTTATTTAATGTTCAGCAGATGACAGTCTGCTGTTAAAGAAAAACAGTTTGCAATTGAACATTGCAACTATTAGCATGCTTTAGGAACTAAGCAATTTAAAATGTTAAGACTTAGCATTCTTTGCAATTATTTTTAAAGAGAAAGGAAATTATTTTTTAAATATGGTCATGAAATTTTATCTTTTCCTATTCAAAAATCACAAGTGTACCCAGCTTTAAGAAGGATTCTATGCTTTATAAAATGATCATGCAGAGAATTTATTTTAAAAGTGGGACCTCCTTATGCATTTAGAAAACTATTTGATTTGCAAAAATTCATTTTACAAATAACTTTTTAGGACTTCGTCTATAGTTTGAAGTGAGAGACAACTGTACCTAAGAGACACACTAAAAGATGAAACACCATTGCACATTTCTAGCCACACAGCATGCTGTATATTGCCCATTTAACTAAACCTTTTATTTAGAAATCTAACAAATTCCCCTGCATAGGCTAAGTTTCCTTAAGCTTGCCTGGCCAGATTCCCTACATTCAACAGAACAGGATCCAATGTTTAGTCAGAAAAGAGGCTCCTTCGTATTAAGATAATTACACAATTTTAACTTCTTAGTATGTTTTTTAAATTAATAACAGAGTGGACTTCTTTGCTTAGAAGAAAATTTGAC